AGCTGAAAAACATCCCTTCCGAATGCGTCCCTCATCTCTTTCCAACACTTTGTCTTCTTTAAAGGGATTTTATCATCTCAAGGCAGAAAGACCCAATTGCAGTCTGCATGTAAATATCTAGATTTTAAAAACCTACGTCAGTATCAAATATGAGTCATAAGTGACAACAAAAAAACTTGAGTGCAGAACGGCAGCTTCCGACAGGCGCTGTTCTTCAAGGTTACACACCATGTCTGCGAGGAAGGCCTCCTTGCCCCCCGCCACTCCTTGCACCTTAGCTGTGGCTCAGGGGCAGGACCGGGACTCCTTCTTCCACCACTTGCTGCGGCAATAAGCTGTAACCCAAGAAAACTTTAATACCAAATGAAAGCATGACATTGTCCACAAAGCCCAAGTCTTTCATCACTGGATAACCATTTTAAGTTGTCCGATTTCAAGCACACAAAAAAACACAAAGGGTGATTATTAAAGATACAAGCTAAGCTGTTCAAGGAGGGCCCAAGGGAAGGAAAAAAAGACTAACTTAGCCATCTGACAGCTAGAACTAAGATGTTTCCAGCTAACTTTGGCCTGCCACCAGCTGAGAGCAGAAATGTCACCATTTCCTAGTCATCAAATGTTGCCAAGCAAGAGCCAAGCTACAATGTGCCGGAGCTGGCCAGGCCCGTGTTTGAGTTCCTGAGACCCTACGCCTCCCCCAAAGGTATGGAAAGCGCAAACAGTTTGTAGTTACTGTTTTCAGAAGATCCTAACTTAGATACAACTCTACGACTAATATAAAACTTTTGCCAGCTTTTCTAATCAAAAAGGCTTGAGTGAAAAGAAATAAAACTCTTTACCACACAATCAGAAAATCCACTGCTTTTTACATTTTAGGAACTGGAACATCACTACTTTGATTTCTAAACTTATAAAATCCAGGTGGTAAATTAAACTCAGATTATATTGTAAAATTCTTTGTCTCCAAAGAACTATTTCAATAAGTTATCTTAAAATTTAACATATAATCTACTTTTCAATAAACTTAAAACCAAATGAGTGGTATTAAACATAAATTGTGAAATGTTTTAAAGAAAAAGAACTTGAGATTTCCAAACTAGGTATCTGCTCTTACTCCTACTAGAAAAATAAACAGAGGTGCACAAATGCAGTTTTATTGCACACACACACACACACACACACACACACATTCATTTGGTGATTAAGTTGGTTACTATTTAAACTATGAACCTTTAGTCCCCCATGTAAAAATTCCTAGTAGCGTGAGACCTCAGGACCAAGCATTTCCCGGGGCTCTCACAACTTGAATATGCCAATTCTGGGCAAACAGAGAGTCCGGCAGAAGTCGACACCTACCTGAGTGGGGTTGCTGGGGTAATCATACGGGTATAATGATTTATGGTTCTAATTTGAACATTGCACCGAAAATGTCACGTGGCGTGCTGAAGGGTGACGCTGTTGTTACAGAACAACTGCTGATGATTTGTAATGAAGAAGGGGCATTATGTACACTGGACTCTGTACAAGGCACGATAAAGTGTCCATAACCAAGTAACCGAAGAATGTAAATGCTCTGCGTGGATCTTTTTTCACCACAAAATTCCTCTTCTTGAACCCATCCCAATAACAAAACTTCTCTGCAGTTTCTATAGCCTTTCCTAGGCTTCTCTACACTGTGCATGGCTTTTTCATTCACGCACTGGCAATTAAGTCTTTTACCGAACTGAAATTAAATGCCAGTCTTTAAAATCTAATTTCAAAGTGAAATCAAAGGGCATTGGCCATTTTCTCACTCTTAAGAGAAAGGAGCTCAGAAATCAGTGTCAGATGTCGCCCAAGAAACCAGATGTGGTGCCGCCCATCTACCTGACTGCTGTCACTGCAGGGATAGGGCCTGGGCCATCCGCCTCCTTGTCAGCTGGTGGGAAAGCTCTCCCATGCCCTGCGTCCAGACCCCCGAAACCAGCAGCCCCCTTCTCTGCAGCTGCGCACTTCCACATATGAACGCTGGGTTTTCCAGACGTGAGGAAAGCTCTCCGGTGCTACCTGACTGGGGCAGGGTAACAACACTTCCACAATCTTCTCTTTCTGGAGACTCTCCTGCACACAAGGTCTAAGTTGGTCTCAGCAACCGTCTTTTCAAACGGATGTAGTCACTGCCTTCACAGGCCTGTTTCCCAACATCCATTATAGAATTTAACCCCACTTCTTACTTTTCCCACTAAATTAAAACTTGGGGGGAAGATAGAAATGACTCTGTTATACCCACACACTAAAATAAAAGTCAAGCTAAATGGCACCTGCAATAAATGTCTCCTTGGGAGGAACTGGTCTCTACACACATCAACGCACAAAGGCGGAAGGGAGGACAACAAAAGCGAAGGCTCAGTGAACTCCCAACCACAAACCGAGGAAAAGCACTGCAACTTGTAAGTGACTGATTCACACGCCACTGTACACACCTCAGTGAGAACTCATTCTCTGCACTGTATGCACCCTGAAATCTTTCAACGGGGCGCTCCCACAGGTGACTTTGTGAGAGCCTCAGCAGGGTATCTGCATATTAAATTTAAAAACTCGTGTATGTGCTCAATGTTAAGGAGTCCAGGTCGGGGTCAAAGGAAGTAAAACCATGACGAAGAAGGGGTGAGACACCCCAGAAGAGACTAAGAACACTCGCTCTTTGGGCTTAGAGAGGGCCCCTGAAAAGCAACAGAAAAGCACCTTGGGAACCCAAGGAAAGGCTGGGAAACTACCACCGCTCAACTTCCACTTCTGCTCTAGAGTTGTCCAAAATAGCGTTATTTCTTCAATTCCAGGACACATAAATGATTTGGGGAAATGTGGTAGGGAACAAGCCATCCCCTCGAAGTGGCATGCTATAAGAAGCACGTATTTCAGGGTGTAAAAATATAAAAAATATGCAACTTCAAGTGGAGGAGCTGCAACAGGCTTGGGGGGGGCACCCACAAACTGCTGATGAAAACCAGGGTTCCCCAGCCTCCCAGAGCTGTGTGAGCTCTCAGTGGCACTCACTCTGCAGTAAATACATGCACTGTTAACTTTTCCATTCACCCCCCATGCACTGACCCTGTTTTAGAATATACCACTTCCCTAAGTTGAAAGAATAAAAACTGTTCTAAGCCAGCAAGTCTTTGGGTTTGTTAAACATTTGCAACCTACTTAAAAATAAATCCTGTGAACAAAACCTAAGTTTTGTTATTCTTTAACCTTACTTTATTTAGGTCAAGGAACTCTTCGGCACAAGTTCGCCATCCTAACAATGTCCTGTGATAACCTTGGGGGCCAGCCTCAAGGGAACTGTTCACCAGGATCATCCTGAAGGTTCCCCCCAACCCCTGGATTTCAAGACACTCAATTACTGTTTTAACCAAACTGTGCTGCCTGGCTTATCTAAACTAGGGTAGGAAATGCATGCTCCACATACAGGAGCATCCAAGAAAAAAAAACAAAACCCACTGGACACAAAAAAACACACGTTGGCCTGGAACAGGAACCAATGCACTTGGCAACTCTGTCCAAGACAAATTTGAAGTCTCATTTCAAAGCTTCATGGAACCAATGTGCCTATACCTTGACTACCCAGTGATCACCTGTTCCCTCCCCAGAACATAGTAAACAGCAGAAAGTTCAATGACTGGCTACGGTAGTTCCTCAAACGCCCAGGTGAAAGGGAGAGCTCCAACAATTTCCACAGGATTACAATGGTTTCCTTTCCAATAACCTGCGTTTTGTTTTCCAGTTTCTATTCCCATTAAGCAATAGGGGGACAAAAGGGCCAAGAAAGGGGGACCATGCCAGGGGCTCCACACGACGATCTTTTCTCTCTAGTCCTGGGATGTCAAGCTGGCGGACACACGGGACTGCGCCCTGGACCGGCCGCGGGGGACTAAAGGCACGGAGTCCTTTCCTGCAGTCCAAGGGGCAGAGGCTGCAATCTCTGCCTGTTGCCCTGTGCCTGTCTCCATGGAGCCTGGACCGCGCAACCCGGGCTGAAGTTCGGCCCAAGTTCCTACAGCCCCTCCTCCAAATTGACCCAAAACATGATTCCCACAGAAAACGGGCCCAGGTCTCTAGCACTGAAGGAAAGCTATGCTTCAAAAGTTCAAGCGTAGGTTTGTTTTTTTTATACCTGGAAAAAAAAAAGCACACACCATACAGCAGCACACGCTACATTACCGCATTCACGGGAGAAGGAAGACTTCAGCGCCGGCTTGTGGCATACCTGACCCAGCACAGGGGACGAGGAGCCGCCGTCAGGCCGCGGGCCCGGTCCTGGGCCCCACCGTTACCTGTGAACGGGCTGCAGGTGCGCTCAGCGTCCCTCCACGCCAGAAACGCCCTACCGCGATTTCAATCAAAAGCAGGGGAGCAAAGTTTCTTCCGGAAGGCGCAAAAAAGGTCACAAATTGGATGAATGAAACGGGGCTAAGGGCACTGGGAGCAGGACTGTCGCTGGAGTCAGAAAAAGAGAAGTCAAAGGTTTTCTAACGTGAGACCGGCTCTCAGAGGCCGTGATCCAGATACGACTGCACAACACGCGTTGGAGGGCGGTTTTATTGGGCGCGGACGGTTCCGGGCGGACGGTTCCGGGCGGGCGGCAGGCTGGCGACCGCAGGGCGGGCGGCGGCGGCGGGGCCGGACCCAGGCAGCTTCGCGACGACTGAGAGGAGTCGGACGCTCGCGCGTGTCCTCCGCGGACCTTCCACTGCTCCCGCAGCCCGCTCTGCCCCCGCCCCCCGCCGGCCGGCCGCGTGCGAGGCACACCCTCCCGCCCGCCGCGCTCCCGCGGTCACACCCCCACCACCCGCGCGCACGCGGCCTCGCGGAGCCGGCCGGCCCCCGCGCGCCCCTCGGTGCGGACCCCAGCCCGCGGCCCCGGCCCCTTCCTGGCCTTGCGGGGAAAGGCGAGGGGCGGCGGCCTAGCGACCGTAGGGCGCCCGCAAGGGAAGTCGGGCTCTCAAGGGAAGGTCACTTACCCGCTGCATGGCTTTTAGGATCAAAGCCAGCTCGTAGCGGGGCATGCCCCAACACACTGCACGCGGCTCCGGACCGCGCCGGTTCCCGGGACGCTGAGAGGCGCGGACCGCCGACACCCGCCGAGGTGCTAGGCCGTAAGGCTGCCGGGCGGCGAAAGCAGCTCCGGCCGCGGGAGCCCGGGCTTAAAGGCTCTGGCAGCTGCGCAGACCGCGCGCCACGCCCCCGCGCGCCACGCCACGCCCCCTTCTTAAGGCGGCCGCGGCCCCTCGACAGCCCGGCTCCCCGCCAAGCCCCCAGGGAGCGCTGATCTCGCAGCGGTAGCGCTGGGATAACGCAGTGGGCTGGGCCGGGAGCGGCCCACGGAGCCCTTACGCCCCCTCAGGTCTTGTCGCCGCCGCGGCTGCGGCCAATGCCGCGCCCGCTATCTAGGGTTCCCGAGCCAGCTGGAACTTTCCATGCCTTCCGTCTCATCCTAGGCGGCGGACGAGCGTGCGCCCCGGTGTGCGCGTGCGCTGCCGTGCGGCTTCTCTGTGCGCGCGCCTCTCGCCCGCGACTCCCCGCCCGGAGGAAGGTTCTCGGTGCCCTGCTCCCCCGCGTGGGCTGGCGGGCGGCTCGCGTGCTCTCCAGTCCCCGGCCGCGCACAGAGGCTCCCGAACGGCACGTTCGGCACCGCTTTGGACTGCGACTCCCGCGCTGCGCGAGGAAGGCCGGTGGGGATTTCGCGGGCGACCTGCCGCTCACGCGGCTTCCTGGGCCTCTTCCCTGGAGCGGTGGGCCCAGGGCTCAGGCTGTGGGCCGCCACGCCGGGGCCGCTTGGGCCCATCCCCCGCGCGCTGCCTGACCTTGCCAGGGTCCAGCACAAAGGGGACATGGAAGGCATCCACTTCCCAGGGCAGTGATGCCTTTGAGTGAGCTGATGTACGTAAATCTCTGAGAGCCATGCCTGCCCCCAGAGGAACCACGCGGGCATTTGTTCTGTGGGCCGGGCATGACCCACGTGCTGTTGCCAAGGGCAGGCTAATACTTTTGGGTCAAACCAGTGTTCTAGAATGCTCTGCTTCAATGTTCTAGAATGATCCCCTAAATAGGGGATCGGAGGATCGGAGCATGCCTGGGGGGGGGGGGGGGGGGGGAGTCAGGTGTCTCCTGAACACACAGGGTTACTTACCTCTCCTTCCAGCCCCTGCTATGCTCTGCCTGCAGTTGTAGTAAATACATTTTTCTCCAGCACTACTCAGAGACCGAGGTCCTTGCAAGTGCCGACCCCTGCCTTGCCTCTCCCCATTAAAAGGGTCTCTAAGTGAGACGATTCTCAACTTGAGAGTGCCTTAATGATAATAATAGGTAAAACCAAGCATCACTTATTGTGCATTGCTTATTGTGCATTGCTTATTATGCATCACTACAAGTCACGTAAGACTTTTACATGGATCATAAAATTCTTGACAGCATGTGAAGCAAGTCACTATTATTAACCCCCACTTCAGGGATTGAGAAATAGAGGCACGCAAAGGTGGTGTAACTAGCTCCAGGTCAAGTATACTAATAGAAACAAAATTTGACCCAGACTTTATGAAGGTTCAGCCCCCAGTTTGTCCATCCTCTGGTTCTCCCACCACACGGTTTAAGGAGTTGGTATGATTTAGTGGATTTAGCATGATTTCCGTATTAACCAAGAAGAGATTCCCATTGGTCACCTTATCCAGAGACTTTGCTACTTCTCATCTGCTTTCCATCCCCCACAAAAGGGAAGGATGCTTTGAACACAACCTTATCTATTCTTGGACTTCTACATAACCCCTGTTCTTCCAAAGAGAAACCATAGTGGCTCACTACAAGTTAATGCAAGTTACCTGGCTGGTATAGAATAAGTTCTCCCTTAGTTAAAAAGAGTAGACTACTTACTATCAGTTAAGCAACAGAAGGAAGCAAGGCACTCCTGGCCCTTACAAATTTTCCAGGGTGGTCCCTATGTCAGCCCTTCCTGGTGTTACGAATCACGTCCCATCTGAGGAATGAGAAAATGTGGACCCGGAAGGAATATGCCAAGCCTAAGACCTCAGCAGTACCATGAGCTGACTTCAACTTTTAGTGCTTCCTCTGGAAGCTCCACAGTTTTTCACAAATTCCTAGCGGTGAGTGAGGATTTTGCTTCTCCCTCCACTTCCTAGGATGCTACAAGTGGGATAAGGAAATTAGCCTGATTGCCTAGGGCTTCAGCACCCTGAACCATCCCAGTCCAGGCGGTGCCTACAAGCTCATTCCATTTATTCTGAAAGGGGGAGAGAGGGCAGCTACCCCAATTTTTCCCCTTCAACATTTCTTTTTAAAGCACAGCCCCGCAATGCTGGTGAGGTCATTAAAAATCAGTAACAAAATCGAAAGGAGTGCTGCCGCACATTCAATGTCTTCTACTGTCACCACAAACTTCACCAAAAATACCTTTTTTATGTTATGCTACATATATTCATCATTTAGAATATAAAACATCACTGCAGCAGTTAATATCTTAATTTTTAAAAATTATCCCAATACTTAAGACTAAGCTAACTAAGGCAGTGAAACATCTGTACACTGAGAACTGTAAAAGAGTGATGAAAGAAATTAAAGCAGACACAATTAAATGGAAAGATATCCCATGTTCCTGGGTTAAAAGAATTAATATTCTTAAAAAGTCCATACTAACCAAAGCAATCTATAGGTCCAATGCAATTCCTATCAAAATGCCTAGGGTGTTTTTTACACAAATGGAAAAGAGTCATAAAATTCATGTGGAACCACAAAAGACCCTGAATAACCAAAGCAATTCTGAGCAAGAAGAATAAAGCTGGAGGTACCGCGCTTGCCGATTTTAAACCAGGTGGCAGAGCTATGATAATCAAAAATGTAAAAGTACTGGCATAAAAACAGCCATGTAGACCAAGGGAACAGAATAGAGAGCCCTGAAATAAACACACACATATACAGCCAACTGATGTCCAGCAGGGTTGCCGAGAACACACAGTAGGGAAAGGGTAGTCCCTTTAGTACATGATGTTGGGGACACGTGTCCACAGGCAAAAGGATGAACTGGACCTTTATCTCATACTACAGACAAAAAGTCAACTCAAAATGGATTAAAGACTTACACCTAAGACCTGAAACCATAAAACTCCCAGGGGGGCGACAAACAGGGGAAGCTTCTTGACATTGGTCTTGATAATAGTGTCCTGGACATGACACAGGAGCCTAGGCAGCAAAAGCAAAAACAGAGAAGTGGGGTTGCACCAAACTAAAACCCTGCTGCTCAGCAATGGAAAGAGCACAATGAAAAGGCAGCCTGCAGAATGGGGGGAATGTGTGCAGACCGTGTGTGGGGTAAGGGATTAATATCCAGAATATATAAGGAACTCAAACAATCTGATAGCTAAATAAACAGCCTGATTCTAAAATGGACAAAGCAACTGAATCTCTCCAAAGAAGGTAAAGATGCTCGACATCGCAAATCGTCTGGGAACTGTGAGTCACAATAATATATTATCTCACATCTGTTGGGATAGCCGTTATCAAAAAGTCAGGAAATAGTACGGTTGGGGAGGAGGCAGGAGAAAGGACCCCTCCTGCACTGTTGCTCAGATGGTAAATCGGCGCAGCCATTACGGGAAACAGCATGGAGGCTCCTGAAAGAAAAAATAAAAGTCGAACTACCTTACGGTCTAGCAGTCCCACCTCTGGTTTCATATCTCAGAGGACTGATGTCAAAATCTTGAAATGGTGTCTGCCCTCCCCTGTTCATGGAAGCATTGTTCATAACAGCCAAGACAGGCGAGCAGTCTACAGGTGCAGGGGCGAATAAAGAAAATCAATTTTTAAAATGCGGTGCAATGGAATATTATTCAGCCTTTGAACAGAAGGATAAACCTAGGAGACTTTACGTAAGTGAAACAACACATGCAGAAGAACACATATGTAACATGATATACATGTATAAATGCATGTATCCACTTACATGAGTCATCTAAAACAGCTATAGGAGCAGAGAGGTTGTGGTTGGCAGGAGCTGGAGGAAAGGGCACTTGGTCAAAGAGTACAAAGTTGCAATTATCCATGAAAAACCATTAGTCTGTAACTTAGGGTCTCCACAACATTGAATTTATGTTGAAGATTTAATTAACCAGAAATCTTGACTCATGTTCAAGTATGTTTTCATGAGAAGTAACAGGAAAGAAAATAACAGAAGTCAAAATTCAGACCAATTTCAAAAATGTAACCTCAGTGTACGCCCTGGGTCAGTTGAACCACATTTACCTTCTCGGTATTGCTGAAAAACGGGCCTTGACCCTGGGCTCGACAAGACCATTAATTCTCGAAGAGAGCTCTCATTTTTTATTACTGAATCTAATGTTTTGAGCAGTCACTGTGAGCCAGGAACCATTCTCAGTGCTTTGCATGTATGAATATTAACATTCACTCCCCACACCAAAATAGTTATCACTTCCCCCATTTTACAGATGAGGAGAGTGAGACGTAAGAGATGTTCAGTAACTTCCCCCGCCCCGTCATCCAGAACGCAGAGCATCCTCACTGCACCCTGAAACCTGGCAGCACCTGGATGTTTACTAGCCAGCACAAACTGAGTAGCTGTTCGTTCACTGACAAACTCGCGCCGAGGCCCTACTGTGCACTCTCCATTTGCAAGCTCAGTTCCACCCCAGCAAAGTCCGCGGGCCTCCCTTGAAGGTCTCCAGACTTTCCACTCGCGGCTTCTTCCTTACGCCTTCAGCTTGTGTAGGTCTCGTCTAGGTAGAGAAGCCTTAGCTTAGCCCCATTGCCCTTTCAACATGTCACTCTCCTTTCTTTCTTTTACGGTCACACTTCTCCAAGTGTCCAGTCCAGGCGCACCTCCTGCCAGCCTTTGCCAGCGTATTCAGCCATGCCGTCACTCAGGTCTCCTGTTCACGCACCGAGTATCGCAGTCAGGGACCCCTCTGCTGTCCTGAGGGTCTCTTCTTTGACACCCATGGCCCCGCATCCTTGGGGCTTTCCTTTGCCTCCTGGGTCTGTTTTCCTCCTGCTCTGTTACCCCCTCCTGTCCCTGGACGTGG